TGACCTGACATCAACGGGCTGGTCATCAGCTCGGGGGCTTTGAGCCACATTTCTCAAACCAGCAGTTTGTTTCACCAGAGTGAGCAAAATATATGAGCTACATCTCAGGGCTACAGAGGGCAAAAAGTAAAAGCAATCATTTGATGCTAAAAATTCTGAAGCTTTTAAAATCACAACAGCAGATATTCGCAACCCATGCAGCTGAATGAGCATCCTCTGTCCAAAGTGCAAATACTATTATTATTCCTTACACTTATAAAGCGCTTTTCTGGACACTCCCCTTAAGTTGTATGTTATTTAACTTGTTGCTGCTGCTCTTCTGTGTCTGTGTTTTTCGTGATTAATGTCTTTGTGTTGGAGCGCACATGCAAATAAGCATGTCAGTGCACCTGTGCCGATGACAATAAACTGCACTGATCTGGAGCCAGCAGCAGGCTGGCAGAGAATGAAGCACCAGCCTGTTCTGCACCAAAGCTACCTGAATGCGGTTTTTTATTTACACCAGAGCTCCGTAGCTTTCATTCCTTTGGTACACAGATTACACTGAAATCACAAAAACAGCACAGACACAGAAAAAAGGTTACTAAGACGAAACCTGTTCCTCGGATGTTCTGCCTTTGAAAGTCTCCAGCCGTTTTGCGCCTCCAGGCGAGATGTAGTTTTATGTACGTCCGCTAGATGGCAGCCGTGTTCAGCGCAAGAAGCCGAGACCCCACTTTCTGGCACAATGTCGTCCAGGAAGTTACTACGTTTTGCTTTCAAGCGTGACTTATTATCGTTAATGTATCATTTCTGAGTCGATGGAAGTCTCGAAAAGATTTCGAATAAGCAGCCTGTAAGTTACATGAATGGTTCGGTTAAGTAACGCGCCGTGAACCCCAGCGCGCGGCGGACTGAGCTTGACGGAGATGAGTGACCTTGATCTGACCAGAATTAATTTAAATAACTTTAAATAAAAGTAGAGAATTAAATGACTTTAAAGCAGAGAGCCTGAGGGGGCAACCGGGGTGTCGGTGCAGTCTGTGACGGTCTGTCTTTCTCTCGGGCGGCTCCAGGCATCTCTTTGCACTGAGATACTTCCGGTTATTTCTCTCAGCAACCCGCACCTCTCAGACATTTCCGCTAGAGGGCGCTTTACAACCACTTCTGCGGCTGTGTCCCCTTTCCCCCCGCAGGCAGGAGACAGCACTCCCCGCCCCGGGCCTGGCGGAGCTTTTCGGGATGCGCTCTCGACTCGCTCAAGCGGTGAAGCAGAGCAGCTGGATGCCCTTTTGTCCGGTGTTTCCCGCTGCTCACGACAGGCTCCCACTCCTGGAGAAAGATCACCCACTTTCAGCTCCGTTCAGCTCAGTTTATTGTCATTCGGCTCTCGTACAGATGTACAAGAGAGAAGGAAATATCGTGTCTCCTGGGCCGAGGTGCACAATGCGCTGGAGCAGTCTGGCTATATAAGAAAAAATAAAACAATGTAAAGAGAAGGTAAATGAAAAAAATGGGTATTTACATGGATATAAGAATTCTGAAATACAGGGGTGGTGGGGGAGTGCAGACCACAGTGCAGGACACAGTCGTAACACGACACGCCAGTGAGACGGTGGCGGTGGCACAGCAGGGGGTGACCAGGCCGTGTGCCGTCTGGGGCTCTGTCATCTAGCAGCCTGCAGGAAAACGCTACTCCTGAGCCTGGTGCTGCTGGCTCGCAGGCTGAGAGACCGTCTTCCAGAAGGCAGGTGTGAAAAGGGTGAGAGGGGTCTGGGGTGATGGTGCACGCTCTCCTGACACACCGCGAGCTGTAAGTGCACTGGATGGTGGGCAGTGAGGTCCCGGCGATGGCCTGGGCTGTCTTCACCACACGCCGCAGAGCTCCCCGGTCAGAGGCAGTGCAGCATGTCAGGACGCTCTCGATGGCACACCTGTAGAGGCTGGTGAGGATGGGGGGGTGGAAGTCCGACTCTTTTCAGGCTCCTCAAGAAGCGGAGGCACTGTTGTGCCTTTGTGACTAAGTGTGACGATGTATAGTGGGTCCAAGAGAGGTCTTGGGTGATATGCACCCCCAGAAACTCAAAGCTGTGCACTAACGCCAGCCCTGAACCATCCATACACAGGGGAGTGTGGACAGCCCCAGTCCTTCTGAGATCGGCCATCATCTCCTTGGTCTTGTGGACATCGAGAGACAGATTGTTGGCCTTACACCAGGCTGCTAGCCGCTCCACTTCATCCCTGTAGACCCCAAACACCATGGGCCCGGGGTGGGACAGTT